TACAGAAAAAGCTCTAGAATTTATTTTCCTTAAACTTACGATTTATTATCCGTTTGTCATAAATATTTGTCTTTACACATTTTCTCGAGACTACAAATATTCGAGTACAAAATAACCGGTTTCGACTTATTTCTACTTAAGAAGTAGTTAAATAATTAAGCGATTAGGGAATTGGGGACGTAAACAAAACCCTGATGAAAGAGCCGGAATTTTACTTAAACAAAAGCTTAACCGAACCAATCTCTAGCCGAGTACAGTGGGAGTGATTTCTTCGAAATATTACATGTAATAAAGACAGACATTTTTCTAGTTCGACGAGAGTGACCGAAAAGTTGTAAATTTTGGAAATTTCCGTGGACAACACCTGGTCCTAAAACGAATTAGTTAGAAAGCAAATGAAGGACAATCTATTAGGATTAACATATTTAGACTTTTACAGCTATGGTGAGAAACGTTTAAAATTTACAACAACCCTGTCGCGTCTTTTGAGATGCGACAGGGTTGTTGTAATTTTTGTGTGATACGACAAAAGAGCGCTTGAGTGATGCGACAAAAGAGGCACTTGACATTGACCGGTATCGGCACCCTCGGGATTTGGCAGTCCCGCGTGCATGTACAGTACACACCTCACACCTAGCGGGACCGTCTCTGATTCCACTGGTAGGGAGCAATTTGACTAAGTGGTTAAGATTTAGAGTCAAGGATATTTTATGTTATTTTTATGTACGTTTCATTACAAAGCTATATTTAATTATAATTTTTTTTTTAAAGTATATTCATACAATTGAAGAAGGTTTTGTATCAGGTATGTATATCCACCACACATTTTATTTCACCAAGTAAGTTTTTATAATTTTATTTTTAATTTTAGCCCTTATATCGTGGCTAGCGATTCACAATGTAATTGCGATATTGAAAATTTATTTTAAAAAAGTTTTGGCTCGAGATCATATAATGAAAAAGAAAACGTTATTAAAAGAGAAAGGCCAATGCCTAAGTTAAATATAAACGCTTCGATAAAAAAATTTGTTCGACATTTTCACGATAAAATGGCTCTGTAAATGCATTTTTATGCATTTACAGAGTGAAATTAGTATGTGGAATAATAATGGCTTTGACAATTTAGCTGGCAAAAGACACGAAAAATCGTCGATTCTTTCGTATTTCAACCAATTTGGAAATCGAAGCGGAATAGAATTTAACATTAGTAAATAATATAAAATAAATATTGAAAATTATAACGACATAGTTACGGTTAATAGATATATTATATCTAAATAAATAGATGTTATATGTTTTTATCAAAGCAAGAATTGGTATTTAGAGGGCATATGGAATATATTGAATTTAATAACAGAGGTAATTATATTAAACTTGTTTATTTATTAAGTACGTCAGATAAATAATCTATTAAAAATACATTTAAAGATAGAATTAACTGATTGCCCCTGGAAGTCGGCTTCTTATAGAAACGCAGATTCCCTATCATCAAATGTCACGGCACGCTCCTGTTTTAACAATACTAATGTCGAATTTATTTTATGTATTTGTAACCTGAAGAAATGTTTTAATCCCGAAATGTGAAGGGAACCATTTATTAACTACACACGAACTTCCGATCTCACGTTAGTTTAATTTCATCATTTTCCCTTTGAAAGATGTTAAAGAGATGGCCGGTACGATTTTTTTTTCGGGAAAAGTATGATATACAAAAGCAAGACACTAACGTTTGAGGTGAAGAGTATGCATTTTAAATACAATGATTAAAAATCGTAGCCACAATAAATAATTGCTCGTTTTATATGTATACCTTTTATAAGATTTTCTTTCGAAATCCTTCTTTCATTTATGTCATTCAGCGATTCCTAATTACATATAATTTATAAAAATGCATTTAAGATGCGGATCATATAAAGGTCAGACCAGTAACACAATCAAAACGTGCGGAGACCATTAGTAATTAATTAAGCTTTATTTATAACGAATAAAGTATGAAATTAAAACAAAACATACAGTTTAAATATTATATTTAAAATAAGAATAAAAGGAATAAAAAGGACAAAATTTATCCTTTCAAAATATTTTGTGAATATCTTAAGTAAAAATTCAAGTCTTGGGCATTATTGGCCACTGCACATCATCGAAAAATTTATGTTTTTTGATTTTTCTTTCTCTAAGACGTTTTTCAGGATTCTGAAATGGTCAACAATAATAATAGTTAATTAGAATTGTTCAAACTTCTCGATTCAATTACCATACTTTCATCTATGTAAACTATATCAGAGAAATTGCAAGCAAACAAGTAAGATGTGATTGCGTTTCACTTTAATTATAAAACATGTAAGATTGTATGACTCAAAACGTGTAATATATCAAAATAAAACATATAAAAAATATTCAAAAAACAAATTACTCGTGGAATGAATAGTACAAAAATCGGAAAATTAATTACATAGAATGCATTATAAACTCACTTTCTGTAACAAATTCTGGATTATTT